ATCCTGTTTCATTTCTACTTGATGCGTTAGCCAGGCATGCTGGTGAGACCTAGGAGAAATCGTAACCTTTGAGAAGACCGACTTTTTGAGGGAAATTGGGGAAATTCTATTGTCACGAGGTTTTCTACTAATTATACTATTAGCTGACTTATTTTTAATCAAATTTACTCATTAACAAGCCTCATCACTAGAAAAGCTATTGTAGCCTAGTCAAAATTGAATAAAATCATTTACATTACTTTATAAATTATGATATTTCTTGAACATAGATATTGCTTATATGAGATGTGCTCACTATATTTCGTTTAAGGTGATTAAGGACTAGTAGTAGAATTTTCCCAGATTAAAAAATGTAGTGGCATATCAATAGTTTGTGTGGATTAATAAATTGGTGTCTGTCTTACCTCCAGGAAAATAACAGTTTATCAATTTTTCAAACACAATAATTTATGTGCTTAGCCCGCATCTAATGCCGATTTGAAGCTGTTTCTCTGGTCTAATACATAAATATATTATCACTCTTTATTTTTAATTTTTCTTGATTTACAGCCCCAATTTACTTATTTTGGACGAGCCTACAAATCATTTAGATATGGAAACGATAGCCGCTCTCTCCCAAGCCTTAAACACATATACCGGCGGAGTTGTACTCGTCACGCACGACGAACGCCTGATTGGAGCTGTTTGTCGGGAGCTTTGGGTTTGTACCAGGGTGCCCTCGGTGGTGAAGGCTGCCATATCATTAATCGGGACCCAAGTTCCCCAGCCAACCGAGTCCACTGCCAGTCGAGTCTTCTCAATGGCAGGCGGCTTGGCTGAGTACAAAATGCTTGTACATAAAGAATTGCAGGCGTCTATGGCAACTTTGTAAATTTTCTCTTCTGGCTTGTAAAATTACTGGCCAACCAAGGCATGCATCGCCCTTGGAGTATTTGATTTTACCTAGCATTTGTATGGTTATCTGGATGTATATGAATATGAGTATTCATGAAAGTGGTGGCCCTTACAGTGATAACAAGATTAATAGTCTTTCCTGTCTTGTATTAAATACAACTCTTTTACATGTACAGATCTCTTTCCGATGCATTTTTATTCATTCTTCATTT